ACTAATTGAATAACTTTTAATTTGTATGACTAAATAATTCAAAATGATTAAAAAGTGATAATAATTGATAAATTTTAGAATTTAAAGATATTCATAAATAATAAGTTATTTATATAATAATTTTTATGATAATTTATAAAATAATAAAATACAATTTAATTTGCATTTTAATTTATAGATATACAATAAATAATAGAACTTTAGGATCATCTTATGACTTACTTGTTTAATTCAAACTAATTTATATATAATATATATTAAAGATCACATAAATTTAATTATTTAGGACAGTAATATTTATTATTTAAAATATAAGCATAAGAGACTTTTAATTAGAGCTGAAACTATACATGTAATGTCTACTTATAGTAGCGGTCATAAATATCTAACCGCTTCTAACTCTGGCTACAAGTAAATTCAAAATTTTTTTATTTTAAAAATACATAACCAATTAACTAAAATTAATACATTGTGTAGTCATCATTTGACTTTATAAGTGCAGCTATACGCCTTTTTATACTAGCTACTAAATTCGTAGCAAGTACAGGTAATAATCAATTCTATTCTTTTGTAAGTTTCTTCTATAACCCTCTAATTGATCAAATTTTTTTTAGTATATTAATTTTCATTAACCTCTGAATGTTTTCTATAGGATTTATGTCTGAAGACATTGATGGCCAAAAAAGTATCTCAATACCATTTTTTTTCTTCTGTTTTTTTACAATTTTTGATTGATGCTTTAGATCATTATCTTCTTGCAAAATCTAATTTATGTTACCTTCACCAAAAAGTTTAAAGGTGAAAGTCAGAAGACTTTGTTTATAAATAGTACACATAAATTTAGCATTAAGATTCCTCTGAAAGCAAAATAGCTTAGCAAATCCAGAAGCAGAAAAACATTCCTAAACATGAACTTTTGGTAGATGCTTAACAGAACGAAACACTTTTTTTCTATCAAAAAACTGCCAAATCTTTTTTTTGATATATATAATTGAAATATACTCTCATCTGTAAAAACAATTAGAAATTTTATTACTAAACTTTCCTCTAGACTTATGAAAACGTCACCTTACTATTTTTACACTAAGTCCAATACCTCTTTCTTCCATTTTTTCTTATATTTGAATGGCTTTTATATTATATTCTTTCTCTGTCATCTTTACAATCTTGTCATCTTGTTTCATAAATATTATATAAGGTCACCCTGGTCTTTTTAAAGTACTTAGATCCTAATTTTCATGATATTTTTTAACCTAATAAATAGCTGTAGACTTACTACAACATACTGTTTAGTAATAAATCTAAAACTAAACTTTAGACCAGCTAGGTGCTCATGTAAAAAGACAATTTCATATTGTTTCTCTAAAGAAAGTTCTATTTTTCAAGCGAAAGTTTGATAATCATTTAAATTCTTTTTTATATCATTGATACTTATAAATTTACAGGTGATTATATATTGTATTACATTATATTTCTGGAAAATTTAAGAGGTAATTATATAATAATTTTGAATGATCTTAGGCAATCAGATACTTATGACTATTACTGTATATATGATCTACCAAATCATATGATAAACATAATATCAATTTGTGATTGGTTAAAATTTAAGTATAATTAATCAATTAATTTGAATGTTTTAGATATTTCAATAGTTTTCATTATCTAGTTATATAATATTTAATTTTATAAGTTCATATATTCATACTCCTTGTCTTATAATAATCTTATATTATATTAAAATCTTTCAATTATCCTTAACCTTCTAAAATATTATATAACAAATATTATTATTCTTAAAACTTTACTTAAAATAAAAAAATTAAATTTGTAGATATTATTATAGAATAATAATTATAGGATCTACAAATGTATAATATAATAATAAATATTAAAAATACATAACATATTAAATATATTTAATATATAGAGAATTAAATTTATTAAAAAAAAGTAATTATCAATTGCTAAATATAATCTAATCAGTTCAGAGATTGCTGTATATAAAGTTGCTTATCTAAACTCATTTTAGATTTAGTAAAACGTCTAAACTATAATTTTGCTAATTTTTTATTAAGGTTTTGATATAGTTTTGCATTTTTATAAGCTTTGATATAGTTTTACTTTTTCTAGAATTTTACAGATTTTTTAATATAATTTTACTAAATTTTATCTTTTTTTCATTTAAACGACTTGCAAAATCTCTAGATTTTATCTAGTAACTTTAGCTGTATATAAACTTCCTTTTATTAAGATACATAAGACTACTTTTTTCTGCTTATAATTAATTTTCTTTTAGTATTATTACACAAAAAAAGACATGAACGATGATAATTTAAAGGATTATATCAATCTCTAAGAAATCATATATGTCTTCTATGTCATCTATGTCATCTATAGCATATATTTCTTTTATATGATATATTTCTTTTATTTATATTATCTTATTTATCTCATATGTTTATTATATATTATTTATTTTATATATTTTATTTATTATATTTATTTCTTTTATATCTTCGATAACTTTATATTTTTCATTTTGTATAAATAGAAGACAATTTCTTTTAGCTTAACAGTGTGTCTGACTTATAATTTTATATAATAGTTTAGTTTAATCCCTCTAATATAATTGTATAGTACAGAATGCTGACTGAGGCAGTACTCCATTGTTATAGTTATTAAATAAACTGTAATTTACTGACATTCTTCTAAATCTAAATATTAAATTAAACATTCTGCTTACCACCCATAAATATTACTTCACTTATCACTCATAAGCATCTTAAAGAACTGACTATAATAGTATTTTCTTATTTTAGTATTTTTATCTTTAATTTGCTTATTTATCAATAAACATTTTATGATTAACCTAAGAATTTTTTATAATATTTTGAGTTAATAATATAATTAATATTTATTTTTAACTTAACATATAAATATATTTAATAGTATATTAAATATACTTAGTAGTACATAGCAGATAAATTATACATTTATTATAGGTTTGAATATATCTTTTAGTATATAACAAAATCTTACCTAACTTGTAAACTTTAGATTTTATTATATAAATTATAAAAGAGTTAATCCTTTAATATCATATTTTATTATTATAATTTAAAAGATTGTATATTAATAATATAGAATTAAATATATTAAATATTAAATCTAATTAATCATGAAAATTATACTAGAATGAAAAATTGTAAAAATTAAAAAAATTATGTGATAAATTAATTAAAGCATTTTTATTATAAATGAAAAATTAATAATTATTTATAAAAAGTTTTTTTAATAAACTTATTATTTATATTAATAGAAATTTAATTTAAAAAAGATTCTTTTATTATATAAATTATATCTTTAATAATCTTTAATCTTAGATTCTAAGTCTTTAACTTATATTTTGAGTTATCATTAAAGATAGTTACTATAATTAAAAAAAATGGCATAATTGAGTTACAACTTATGATACAATTAAATTTTCTTATAGCGCAATTAAGTTGCAATTTAATTGGATTTGAAAATAATTATAGGGACCATTTTTAGTTATCATTATTATCTCTGCTTTCTTACAAGAACAATTTTCTATTCTATTATATAAAAATACAATTATTAAAATATTGCTATTTATACTATTTAATATAAAATAAGTTATAATACTAAAATAAATATAAGTAATAAAATATAATGTATTTATAATAAAAATAATAAAATATATAATAATGTTATATAAAATAATTATAAATAAAATAAAAATGTTAAATAAGTTAAAAATGTTAAAGATGTTAATTTGTCAATTCTTGTATACAGTAGAATTGACTTTATATAGTATTATTGTTAAATAAAATTCTTTTATTTATAATCATCATAATTATTAATTTTTAAAAATAAAAATCTTAAGTTTAATGTAAATTTATGAATTTATTTGATTAAATTTTAATTTTTTACAAAATTTTACAATATAAATATATAATAATTTATATAGTTAATTATATTTATTATATAGTTATTATATATTAAGAAATTTAAGATTTCTTTAATTATATCTTTAAGGTTTTTATTTATTAAATAAAGTTAATTTTTTAGATATATTAAGAATTATTTAATAATATAATTATTAATTATAAAGTTTTATTAAAAAAAATAGATTTATATTAAAAATTTAAAAAAAGAAATTGTAGATTATAGTTTATAATTAATTTAAATAAGAATTAATAAAATTAAAATTTTTTTAATAAGTTATAAGTTCTTAAAATTATAGATTATTATACTTATAATTTTTATTATTTAATTTATAAGAAAGCTGATCTTTATATTTTAATATTCTAATTAATAAAACAATATATTTTAATAAATTAAAATTAGATATAATTCTTAATATTATTATCTAAATATTAAATAATATTTAAATAATTTATTTTAAGTCATTTAATATTACTTTATTTATTATTATTTTGTTTAATATTATTTTTAAATTATAATATGTATGTGTATATGTATATTATTGTATATAAATTTTATAAAGTAAAAACTTATTTATTAGTCATAACAAAATAAAATTTCAAATTAAATAATACAGTATAAGTAAATATTAGTTAAATAAAGTAAAAATTCAAGGTTAATTTACAGTATATTAAAATCTTTAAATACAAATTTGTAAAATTAAAGTCACGTGATCTTAATATAAACGCATTTTTAAATCAACGGGTGAATATTATTTTAGAATGGAGGATCGTCCGGATATCTGTTTCCTTTGAAAGAATCGGAAACGTTTGACTTTTCTAAGTATATTTGATATTCAAAAAAATAAAGATAAGAACAAAAATGAACATTCTTATCTTATTTTAGAATTATTAAGTTTCAAATAATTCTCACGTTATTGTTACAGATGATCATTAATTTATCCTGTCATCAATAAAATCATCTACATGTAACCAAATAAATATATAATGCGCTCCAAATTTCCAAATTTGTCAAACAAATGGATATTCAAAATGCAGCAAGAATTTGCTAACTCTGATATAATTTTATTATTACACACAAAAATATTTATTTATGGTTTCGGTGTTAGGTTGGTTGAGAATTTAGAGTAAGCTGTGGCACAGAAACTAAATGACAAAAATTTTTTCGTAAATAACGAATATAATTAAATCGGAAGAATTATAAAATTTTGTATATAAAAATTCGATCCGGACAACGTTTTTGTTAATCACTTTTAGTGTGACCAAATTTAATCCGATTCTTGATCTACTTACTAGAATATTTGTATACTTGTCATTTTGTGATTATCGATTTGTCCATGCATTAGCAAACAAATTTACCTAATGATAGAGTATCATATATTTAAATTGGATAAGGATCTGAAACATTTTTACATTTCTTTGTGAGGTCTTAATTAAGACGTCAACAAGTGTTGTAACTAATTGCGGTGTTCCGCGATTCACATAACAATATTACAAGGTAGTGAGGAATATTTGATCTTGCACAAACTTTAAAATGATTCTAATTTTGTTCTTTTTGTAAGTTAACTTAGTAATCGTAATGAAAATCATCAATTCACATGGCTATCAGATTTATTGTAACCGATTAGAGTTTGCAAAATTTTATATAAAACCCGCCAGGATACTATCGCAACCCTTCCATATTCTTTAAATCAAAAATTAAGCTTGAACTAATATTCTAAAAAAAAAAATTTTAATAACAATAATAATGAGCGAATCAACTGATATCAATCCTGAGAAAGGAGAAATTGATGTAGAAAAAGAAAAAAAAGACACGATTAATGATGATGATTCTCCAATCCCGATGGTTGCTGCGGTAAATATAATAGTTTTCAAGTTCTCCGATTTAAATATTTTTTATTTATTTATTTATTTATTTATTTTTTAAGGCTGTTAGCACCGAAGATGATCCAAGTTTACCTTGCTTAACTTTTAGATTTTGGGTTTTGAGTACGGTGAGTCATTTTTTGTTTCTCCGTGACTTTGACGAATCATATTAATGAAATGATCATTAAATTTAGTTCTTCACGGCACTTGGTGCAGCGATATCCACATTTTACTATTTTCGTCCGAATAGTCAAACTTACTCCGTCTTTTTTGTGTTGCTTATATCTTTTTTCTTGGGACATGTGATGGCCAAGGTGCTTCCAACGAGAAAATTTCGAATTTGGCGATGGGAGTTTAGTCTTAACCCAGGTTTTTTATAATTTTAATTGAAAACCTGATAGAAAACCTTTGCGTTTAATCGATACGAATAATATTTGCTTTACGTTTCATTTTGATCAACAGGTCCATTCAATATCAAAGAACACGTTTGTATAGTAATAGCTGCAAATACTGGAGGCGTATCGGCATACGCTATTGTATGTATCGATTAATTTATTTAGATATACGCAAAGGGCGTCACATTAACCAATTATTATTTTATGTAATAGGATGTCATTTCCATCCAAGAACTTTTCTATAACACCCACATACCCTTTTTAAAAGGTTTCCTTCTGCTTGTAAGTTCTCAAGTTTTGGGATACGGAATGGCAGGATTTCTTAGAAAATGTAAGTCTTACTTTAGGGCTTCAGTTGAGTAATATAGAGAAGGACTAATTAACATATTTGGAATAAATAGATTTGGTTCGTCCAGCAAACATGATTTGGCCGGTTAACCTTGTATACTCGACCTTGTTCAGTTCATTTCACAACAGTATGCCCGCAGCACGTCAAAAACTTCGATATTATGCTATTGTATTTGTCATTGTGTTCATTTGGCAATTTGTACCGGTATACATGTTTAACCTCTTAACAAGCATAGCTCTATTATGCCTAATATCTCCATACAGTAAGGTGATGAATAGATTAGGAAGCGGATATCATGGTTCGGGAATATTAAATTTTAGTTTGGATTGGAATGCAATCGGACAATTCGGACCATTATATACCCCATGGCATGTAATATTTTTGTTAATTGAAAATGAATTTTGCTAAAAATCTCGATAAATAACTTTTTAATTTTCCTTCGTTTAGGTGGGTTTCGGTGAATTATTTTGTCGGTGCAATTATTGGTTCATGGATTATTGTGCCGATTGTATACTACGCCAATCTCTTGTAAATATAAATTTATATTTAAAACGTGATTTTTTAATTAACAACCTTAACGCATTCTTTTTGTTTATTTAGTGATGCAAATAAATTTCCTTACATATCTTCACATCCTTTTGACAAAGATGGAAAAAAGCAAGCGATTTTATGTTTAAATTTAAATATTTTTCCGGATAAAGACACGAATAATTAGTAATTTAACAATTTCACTTTTTAATAGATATGATCAGTTATCAATTCTCGATAAAGAGACCGGTTCTTTAAATGAGACGGCTTACGAAAATTACAGTCCTGTGTATATATCGACCAGTTTCGCTTTTACTTATCTGTATAGCTTCATGATGCTTACTGCAACCATAAGTCACGTTTACCTTTTTTATGGTGAAGAAATTTGGAAAAGATTCAAAGCTAGTCGCAAAGAAGAAGAGAAAGATGTTCATTGCAGAATGATGGATAAATATCCAGGTAACATTGAGCACATATTTTGATTTTAGTGATCCTAATAACTTGAAATTTATTTTGTTTGTTTGTTTTTTTAGAGGTTCCAAATTTTTGGTATGCGGCAGTATTTGTTAGCATGGCAGCAATTGCTATTGCACTTGGATACATAAATGATGCGCATTTACCATGGTGGGCACAATTACTGTCTATTGCAATTGCAGTGAGTATGGTGCTTCCAATCGGTAAATTTTGTTCTATACTTTATTTCCTTTTTTCCGTTAATTAAATATTTGTTAAAACGACACGCGTATTTGAAATTTGTAGGAGTGATAACGGCGATATCATCAAATACCCAACTCGGTTTGAATGTGATAACTGAAATGATCTGTGGTTATATGCTTCCTGGCAATCCTATTGCCAATGTGTACTTTAAATTGTATGGTTATATGGCATTGTATCAGTGTCTTCTCTTACTTTCCGACCTTAAGCTTGGTAATTATATAATGAATGTATAATGTGACCAACTCGTACTTTATGAAAAATTTTTATTCTTTGTTATAAAGGTCATTATATGAAAATTCCTCCACGATACATGTTTATTTCTCAATTGTATGCTACGATCATTGGAGCCTTTGTAAATTATTGGGTTTGTCAACTTATTATTCAATACAAGCGACCATATCTTGATAACACAGAAGTTGATCCAACCGGCCAAGTAATCTTCAATTTTCTTTTTCTTTTTATTTTTTTTTGACTCGAGAGAATGTATATTAAATAATTTTTTCTGTTTCATAAAATCATAGTGGTCAGCTAATCAGTCGCAAATTTTTAACACGGCATCAATAGTATGGGGCTTGATTGGACCAGCAAAAACGTTCGGGGTAAGAAAACTTATTTTGATTGACGTTTCTCCACCTCACAAAATACCCACATTTAAAGTCTACACATTTTTATTTAGCCCGGTACTTTTTATCAACCACTACTTTGGGGATTCGTAATTGGGTTCGTTTTACCAATCCCGATTTACCTCTTACATCGAAGATTCCCAAAAGCTAGGTTTGATTTGGTTAACATACCATTAATTTGCACTGGTCTTAGTATAATTCCTCAATACTATAGAAATTTTATAATTATGGGATTTTTAGCAAGTTTTATGAGTCAGTATTATGCCTATCGTTACAAGAATAGGTAAGTTAACTGTATATGTGACGAAAAAGATTTTTTATTTTATCCTGATTTTTTTAATAATCTCTAATTATATAATTTTATTTTGACCGTGATTTAGATGGTGGAATAAGTAAATACAGCATTTTGACCTATTTTGCGATTTTGATGTTGTAATTTCATAACCGCGTCTAATGCTTTGTTTTTCAATCTTCAGATATAATTATGCACTTTCTGCGGCATTGGATAGTGCAACGCAAATCGCTACGACGATTATCTTCTTTTGTTTTAGTGGAATTGTTCAGGTGGGATATTATTTAAAAACGAGTAAAAAAAAATAATAATCTTCTTTTGCATATATATTAATGATATAAATTTAATCTATAAAAGATACCGTTTCCAGAATGGTGGGGGAATAATCAAGCAAGTGAAGGTGAAAGATGCTTTGTTTCAGGTGAAATTTGATGATTAAAAAACAAATCTGAAAGAGGATGGTTAGTTTTGAGGAACCATTGTTCATATGTCTTAATTATATAATTTTAAATTCATTATTGTTTACGATTTTTAATATTTAATAAATAAAACATATCTATGAAACGAGTATTATATATAATAGTTACTGCCTGCTTTCATTTGATAGTTTTTTTTTTAAAAAAAAAAAATCAAAAGCATATATGCAATGTAAAGGCGTTATTAACATTAAATAAAAGAAGTTTGATTCTCACAAATTTTATTTTGAGATGGAACAAAGAGGAACGAAATACATAATAATGATTAACATTCCTAATAATCCGATTTTGTGAAGTTTAGATTTGTAGTTGCGGTGTCATAGAAATCGAGAAAAAAAAATTATAAAAAAATAAATAAAGTAAAATAAAAAAAAATATCGAAAACAAAAAACAAAAAAAAAAAAAAAGAAAAAAAAATATTAAATTAAAAATCGATCGATAAGATCGATATTCAAATATTAATTATGTATTTTCGAATATTTTGAATTAACAGGAAAAATGATTCCATGCACGAAAACATTATGTCAACTCATTCATATAATCAATCCCTTCATCTATTGTAAAGGTTTAAATATATAATTGGTTTCCGATTCCTGGAAGACTGCCATGAATTTTTTTCCCTAAAGAATAAACTTGGTAAAATCATGCTTCCTCCTTTGCTGCTGCAGCACTTTTTTTTTTTTTAAAAAAAAAAAATTATTTTTAATTCTTAGCCGCAGTCACCACAGAAAATTTTTTAATGTATTGTCTATTTGGTAAGTTTATCGGTTATATTTTTCCATTTTGTTTATTTTCCTTTTTTCATTCATTCATTCCTTTTCCATTCCTGAATTTTTTTTTTTTTAACATTAAAAATGACTATCATCATCTTCTCTTATAATCTTATTGCCCGATGTTAAATTCAGGTAGATGATGCATGATGTTAAATCCTTAAAAATGACAATTTTCGACGTTTAGTTTCAGAAAGGATGTAGATGCCTTTGTTTGGTCAAACGAAGGAATACAAGCAACAGAACCTGTTCTTCTCAATTTCTTGATATCATTGTTGACAAAATTAATTCTTTCAGATTTAGCAATCGAATGATTCATAAATATTTTCTCCTCGAGTATTTCGTAATTGGCTTTCCGTATTCTGACGGTAATTAGGGATGGGGGTTCAAAAAGAGCGACTCAGAGTCGGTTCTGTTCTGGAACCGATTCTTCAGCATATTTTTTAGTTCGAGTGATTAAGATAACCAATCAAAAAAATTTCTTTAATTGATCTAAATTTTGACTTGACACTCAAATCTTAATTTACTTTATTGGAACCAAGGGAACCACACCTGTCCTTAATGGTAATTGCTTAGGGTAAAATTTGCTTTGCTGGATTCAATCGATAGACTCTTTTCAGGCGACTCTTAATTGAAATTTAACAATCATAAATTTTATTATAAAATTATTATGATATTGTCTGATGGAATATTTTTTCCAGAACTGAAGTTGAAAGAACCATTTGACTAAAATTTTAAAACTTTCATTTTATCGAATATTTATAAATTTTTGATCAGTCGCGACTCATTTGAAAATAGCGGAGTCGGATGCTTTTTTTTTACAAAGGTTGGTCAGCCCGTCACCAACATTACTAATTCAGCAATAAAATAAAAAAAAAATTTCATTTTTATTTTACAATAAGCGATTTCTATGTTGTACAGTTACAAGTTATGTGTTTCACGTGACCGGTGGTTCCAATACAGGAAATTTTCTTTACGTTAATTAAAAAAATTTTGGTTTGGTATACATCAGTTACATCAGAGTCGTTAGTTTAATTTGTAACGTGTCTAAAATAATCGATATATTATCGAATCTTGTTACAAGGGGTTTGCATATTAAAATTTTTTTAAACATCGTTTCTATAAATTGTATCTTTTTATAGAAATGATTTTTTTTTTTTATTTATCAACATCGCAATGTAGATTTGTTAACAACAATTCGCTTTTGCATGAAGATTTAATGCGAGCATTTTTTTTTTAAAAAAAAAAAAAAAAAATTTGAATTAAGTAAATAGGGAGGTAAGCGTTACGGATCATATGATTTACTAGGTAACTCGATTTTAATAGCAAACCTCCCAAATGATTCCAATATTTACTCGATTAAGTAATTTCTTTTATAGAAATGTTTATCTACATCCTTTTTATATCACTGGTAACGAGTCAATGAAGAAGGTTCTGAACGTTTCGAGGAATTACTTTACATAATTGTCCGATTTTGCGTTGATGAATCAAAGCTGTTTTGAGTAAACCTTAGAAGCGATAACGACATTAGCAAGGAAGTAACACCTGATTTCTCGGTATCATCGATAATTTGGTTAGAGTATAAAATGATTGCAATAACAAGATTAAATTTACTTTAGTAAAACGGCAAATTATTCTCGAAATTCTGAAAAAAAGAAATCACCTATTAGAATTGCTATAAAATTGACATTTTCCAAAACTTCGTCTCCAAGGCACTTCTTTATATGCAGTACATCATGATTGTGCACTATTTTTGCTGTTCTTATCGTTATTTATACAATTTTAAAAATAAAATATTACGTGAGAATATTTTACGTAATAATATTGTTGAGTCTCATCTCGGTATTCAGGGTGAAAATTTTTTCAATGCGCTATACGTATTAGACTTTTCCTTTTGCATTGGATATCATGAAATATATCTGTATAGTGCCCTGTCGTACATCATCTGGCATGAATTAAAGATATTTTTTTTTTTTAAAAAAAAAAATAATGTACTGCGTATTTATTTCGATCGAAGGTCTCGTTACAATTAAAACTAAATCCATCCCCCCAATTGGTAACGATAACGATGAATACACCACATGTTAAAAAAATTCAAAACCCAAATTCGGGAGTAACCTTGTTAATAAATTAAATCACTTAATGCAAAATACAAAGGTATAGTAAAGCAATACAGATAAACCCACCCTCGTTATTCCATGAAGTTACGAAGTTCGGGCTGGGCAACCAATGAACTGTATCAAATTTGCTAACAATCAACATCCTTAGTGCCCTATCAATTTAGAACATTTGAAAATTAGATTTCTCCAATGTGACCATACGAGTAAAATTCACATGATCACCAAAGTATCACGGGATTAAATAATATTTAAGCTGATCGTACACATTTTTTGTTTACGTTAAAACTTGATCTCTCATTCTTGCTTCACGTTTATTTCAAGCCGCAACAATGTTTGAATTAATTAAACTTTTCTTGGGGAATTGTATAATGACCTTTATCGAATGTTTTCGTTTCTTCATTTGGAGTAACTATCAAATATTTTTAAATTCATCAAATCAACCATATCTATACTAAAGCACTTTAAATATTTTAGGACCATTTGTTCGAACTTTATTCGGGATGAAATTCTTAAGAGCAAAATGGTGCGTTTTATTATTTCAGAAATTCTTTATAAGTTGTTCTACTATTCAACACACAACATTTCTTTTTCCACGTTTTAAGGCTTGACGTAAACTACGATCATTATATTGATACGGATAATCAGCAAATTTATATGATAGGAATTTCTCGAGGTCTTGTAGAAATCGATGATGACCTTATATTAGCTTTTGACCTTGGAGACAAGATAGTAGTTTTCAAAATATATGAAATTCCAAATTTATTACATATATTCTTCGATCAAGGAAACGCACAATTTGTGATTAATCAAATGTATTATAAGGATTCTGATATTTTAGAGATTAATTTCGTTAATTTTATCCCACTTATTGTAAATTTCAAGAAAACCGAGGTGGAAGGTATTGAGATGGGAATGGATCACGTCGGAAAGCTTGTTTGTTTACACTTGTGTAATTTTAAGAAAAATGAATTTATGTCGAAGTCGTTATCAGAAGAAGAGAGAGATGAAAGATTAAATCGTTCGATAGAGATAATGAAAGATAGAGAGAAATCGCGAGCGTAAGGAAGAGGAAATGGAAATGAAACTTTAAAATGCAAGAGATTCAAGTTTATAAAGAAAATATCATACTTTAACATCAAATTTGCTTTTTCGAATTATATTAAATAAAAAATATTTCAATACCGTTAAAGGATCCGAAATCTTAACTTTCACAAAAATGACAAAAAAGTGAATTCGGGTACACAATATAAAAATTAAAGCTTGTTATTTTTTTCTGTTATTTTATTTTTTTTAGATTTACACTTTAAGATAAGTTGTATACAATTTTGTTAATTTTATTCTAAGGAAATGTCTTGTAAAGGTTTCATTATTAAATTACACAAAATTAAATAATAAATTTTTTTTAAGATTAAAATTAAAATAGTAATAATTCATACATTAAAAAAAAAAAATGCTTTTTCTCTAAATTCTAAAATAAATTTATAAAAGTTTCTTTTAAAGTATTTTTATGAATAATTTTTAAAATTTATTATTAAATTTACATTGTATAATTATATAAATAAATGTTACAGAATAAAAAGTATATATATTAAGGTAAATATATTTAATAATGTTTTTTATCATGCTTATAAATTACAAAAATAAGGTAAATTAAAATATTTACAAGACTTTTAATATTTTTAAAATCTTTTTGTATAAATATTAGTAATAATTAGTATTTTAAGGTATATTGTTTTGTAATAAATCTATATCTAATTAAATTCTTATACTCGAATTTCGTTTGTAAAAATAATTATATTATGATATTAGAAATGATTTTCGATATTTTAATAAAAACTCCACTCATTACTGTACAGTTAATTTAACATAAAAAAAAAAATTTTTTAAGTGGCGCAAATTAGATTCGATGACGATTTATTTTAAAGTACGCATTATCTGTTATCGTTATATTGAAATTATTTAAATAACTTAAAAAAAAATTAAAATGTGACAAATATGGGGATGGATGTTAGATTCTCAGGATATTAATTTACTAGGAACGATAAACGTTTTCTGATTTATGCAATAAATCCTTCCGAATCCAATGTGTTAGTTATACTTTAAAAAAAATTTTCGGTAAGCCCCTGATCAGGTTTTTTTTTTCTTTAAAAAAAAAAAAAAAAAAAAAAGTAAATTTCCTAATAAGTAAAAATTAACGAACGTCAAATGTCATCAAAATTATGTCGAAATGTGGATCGGGCAACCGCGGAATTTTAAGAAAAAATGTTTTGCTTTAAGATCGAAAGATAAAATCAATAAAAAAAAAAAAAAAAAATTCGGTTAAAATAATATTTAGAGCTTTTATAAAATTTATAGGCTTTTTCACTGCGACGTGAAAATTCTCATTGATGACTCTGACTCAAAAAGCACGAGATCATTATGCAATCGAGGTGGTTAATTTTTTTAATATTTGCTAAATTAAGTAATAATAGATATGGGATGGACTAAAAATATATTAACGGATCCTACATTTTTTTTTTTTTTCTTTTTCTCCTCGTACTTTTCATAACTAAAACAACATTTTCCAAACAACTTTCTAAACTAAAACTTTTCGAACGAGCTTTTCCAACATTTTCGTGCTATGATAAGGTATTTGTTGTATTAGTAGTGGTTTTCCATTCTGGTTACGAGCTCAACAATATTCGCGAAATATTGTTGACCTACAAGTTCGAATACCCGGGATGTTCATTTCTATAGACAAGTATT